ACAGGTATTTATTCTGACTGCCTGCTCTGCACCAGTACCAATATTTGAGCTATCTGTAGCGGCAGTAGTTCTGAGAGTGCACAGCCTAGATGAGGGAATGACCTTGAGAAACTTATATATACCCATTGAAGAGAGAAGAGGGTAAAGGGCCACTGGATGATATTAAGGTAGAATGATGAGATCAAGGAAACATTTTTATTTATTTATTTAATTTATTATTATTTTTTAGAAGATTTTATTTATTTATTTGAGAAAGAGAGAGTGCGCGAGAGCGAGAGAACACAAGCAGGGGGAGCGGCAGAGGGAGAAGGAGAAGCAGACACCCTGCTGAGCAGGGAGCCCAATGTAGGGCTCTATCCCAGGACCCCAGGATCATGACCTGAGCCAAAGGCAGTCGCTTAACCGACTGAGTCACCCAGGCACTCCCATTTTTATTTATTTTTTAAAAGGTTTTCTTTCTTTCCTTCAAGTCGGGGGGGGACAGTGGGGTGGGGGCAGGGACAGATGGAGAGAGGGAGAATCCCTGAGCGTGGAGCCTGATGTGGGCCCTGAGATCATGACCCAAGCCAAAACTGGTCGGGTCCTTAACTGACTGAGCTACCCAGGCACCCAAGGGAACATTTTTTAAAGAAGAAAGCTAAAGAAAGGAAGGTATACACGCTATTAAACTCTCAAGAATCTTTCCTAATCTGTAGTTCCCTTCCGAGTACAAATAAAAAAAATCAAAGAAGTGTTAAATAGGAATCAAGCTTTTCAAAAAGAAAACTGGGAACACATACAAATCTCACAAATGTCACAAGGAACCAGTGAGGTCTAGAAGAAAATGGAAGAAGAAATATGGTTCTAGACTTAAATCTACTATGGTAACCTGAAGTGAATCATTTAGACTTTATATATGTCCAGTTACTCACACAGAAATAGGAATTTTAAAAAAATGGAGTTTGGGGGAAAATACCAACATGAACTTATCAATATATTGGATACTACTGAAGAATATTTAAATATAAGACATAATTCCTGCCCTCAAAGAAGTGACAAAGTCAATTTGAACTAAAATCATACAAAAGTATTTAACTAAATGCTTTACTGAGTGTCAAATGAGAGAGTAAATACCAAAGAATATAATTCATATATGAGTTACCATGAATGCAAATCAGGAGAGCATATGCCATACTAGTTTTCCAGTTTGAGGGTCCTTCCCTCATGGACTTGAGTTGAGATCCTATTGACTTTAAGCTGAGTTCACTTAAACATAGATTACATTATATATCCAGTACCATAATGCAACTTAATTGGTTTAAATTACATTTTCCAGAAGCTAGATTGAAACTCTGATGAATGAAGAGAAATTCTTTGATAAAATACAACCAATAACAAATAAGGAAAAAACTACCAAGCTGTGGCAGAGTGGGTGACTTAACCTTTTGGGTGTATGATTCTCCCAGGAGGAATTCTTAGAGGGAGAATAAGGACCAAGGGCATAAATCTCTTCAAGAGTTCCAATACACAATGACAAAGCACCTTTCAGGAATGGTACACCAATTCATATTCTTAAAAGTATCTGAAAAAGTTCTTGTCCTTGATGGAAGATGAAAGGTGTACTATTACTTTTGCTCAAAGTTGTTCCATTTGATCATTTGGACTTCTTTCTGGAAATGCCTGTTACTGATAATGTAGAGTTCATTATATATAAAAGAGAGATAACTTGTCACCACTGCAAAGGAACATCACCCACACCAACTTCATGCTTCCATACTATTAGAGCATAAAATTGTGATGAAATGGCTGACTGCAAATTCAACCTGTCTTCCTGCTATCTGGCAAATCTTTTCTTGTTGATCCTCTAGCCATGATTCTCAGCAGCAGCCTATTGTAAATCTCCTCCGTTTTCCCTAAACTCCAATCCTAGCCTGAATCTCTTCCCTATACAGACCTGTCAGACCCTGAGCATCCACAACAGAGCAATTCCCAGAGTCTAGAATAAGAGTAAGGCATATGAGAAGCTGAGTAACTTACTACTAGACTGGCATGGCACTCCTTAAAAAGGCACACATCAGGCACATTTGGTTTAAAACCCCATCTTGCTTCTTGTTCACTACGTGGTCCTGCACAAATGAGTCTATGACACAGTTTCCTCATGAACAGAACAGCATTTAATAGCTACTTCACAGGGTTGACATAAAGCAAGGACCTAAGGCAAGGCATGGCATATGGCTGGCGCTCAGTAACTGCTAGCTTCTTTCCGTAATTCCACATCGGTCTGCTCTTTGCCAGAGTTTGTCAACTTTAAGTGGATTTTTACACAGCTATATTTATCATCTTTTCTCCACTTCAGTCCCACAGACAATGAGGAGACATCAATGGATCTTTATCACTACACAGTTAATGTTCCCCACAACTTAGCTCCACCTCACCTCTTTAAATCCATCTCATACTCCTCTTCCAAAAATCTACCTTAGCCAGATTGGATTTAATTAACTTTCCTGACATCTTGAATACTTAGATCCATATGCATTTTTCCTCCCATTTCCACAACTCTCCAATTGCCCAAATCCATTTCATTGTTAATACACAGTATTATTATTGTTATTTGCAACCTTTATTGAGTGCTTTCTATGTGGCAGACACTAAGTGTATTACGTGCAATATCTACTTCACAATATCTCTTCACAAGCCCCACAAGATGAATATCTGAGATAAGAACATATATTTGCCTTTTTTCTCTAGACTCTATGCTCTTTTATGACATGAGCCATGCCTTGCATTTTTTCCTTTGTATGATTATCTAGTTAAGCAGGAATTCAACGAATATATACATATATATGAACTGACTGCAATTTCACATTTTGTTTCGCTGCCATAATACTCACTTTCATCAAATCTATCACCCCCTCAGACTATAAAGTTAGTAAGAAGGTGTGATGTGATTTAATAAGTAACACATATTTGGTCTTTGTCCTTGCACTAGCTCCTAAAGTCCTAAGTGTTCAGAGGTATAAAAAGTGTTTTTTGACATGTTAATGAGGTGACTTGTGGAAAGCACCTAAGTGACCTAAGGATGTGAGGGATGGTTGCCAGTGGAGCCAACCATGTGATTAGAGGGTTAGAATTTTCAGCAGCCCCCCACCCCCGCTCCCCCACCTAGGAGGAGAGAGAGGATGGAGACTGAGTTCAGTCACCAAAGGCCAATGTCATGTCTAAGTAATGAAGCCTCCACAAAAATCCCAAAAGGACAAGGTCTGGAGAGCTTCCAGGCTGATGAACCAGAATGCGTCCATGTGCTGTCTTGCTGGGCCCCAAACTCTACAGGGACAGAAGCTCCTTTGCTTGGGGTCTCATCCCATGCATGTATCTCTTCATCTGCTATTGATTTATATTCTTTGATAGCCTTTGTAGTAAACTGGTAATGTAGTGAGTAAACTGGTTTCCTAGAGGGAGCTACTCTGGCAAATTAATGAAATCCAAGGTGGGCGGGGGCTAGGGGGTCATGGAAACCTCTGATTTATAGTCAGTGGGTCAGAAGCACAGGTAACAACTTGGACTTGCAATTGTCATCTGAAGCGGAGGACAGTTCTGTGGGACTGAGCCCTCAATCTGTGGAATCTGATACTATCTCTGGGGAGATAGTGTCAGAATTGAGTTGAACTGTAGGACACCCAGCTGGTGTTGGAGAATCGCTTAGTGGTTTGGGGAAAAAAACACATGCTGCAAGTGGTGTCAGAATCTTAAAAGATCACCTAAATTTTAGAGATGTAGTATTTCTGGGACTGCATCTATCTGCAGACATACAGTAAAGATTCTGTGTATAGAGTAATAGCAATGGCTGAAGCAGTAGCGTTTGATATAAAGAAATCCTTGGGGACACTAGGATTATGTCAGTTTGATCATTCTTGATTAAGGCCACTGTGAGCAACAGTGAAAAAACTCAAAGCAGTAAAAAATTATGAGTAAGTACAAGCAAACAAAAACAAAACACATAAAATGACTGCAAATTCATCCTTGTTTTGTAGATTACTTAAGACACTACAATAGGGAAAGAGGAAAGACTTAAGAAGTCCTGTTTCTTTACTGGGTTTGCTGCCACAGTAAAAGCATAACTTCTCTGACATATAAGGCAACATCCAACAATATCCTTTCTCCCTATGTGAGAAATAACCATTTGGGGTGTTTACAAAATATAATATGCTTCAGGAGACTTCCTTAAATGCTATGACTATGATAGAATTTATTTTCTTCTTCGATGTCTTGAGAATTTAGCAGAAAACAATGAAATCACAGCTCTCTGTCATAACATTATCTAGCCAAATCCAAAGACACAAGGAACGCTTAAAGGTACCACTAAAGGAGGAGCAAGTCATTTTCAAGTAATAGTTGAGATTAAATCACAAACAATGGAAAACTGCATACTTATAAACAAAACTATTAACTTCAAAAAATGAGCCAATTTCTGTTCCACTCATGAAAACAGAAATTTTCACAATTGTGTATGTTGTTATCTTTTTTAAAGACCAAAAATGCTGAGATTTTCAAATTAGCTTGCTTATGATTAAAGCTGAAAATGAGAAAGGCTACTATGATCAAACCATATGCTGAATTCATAAAGGGGAATAAAAGAAGTGCTAGTGCATAGCACATTCCAGTGAAGAGGAGAGAAAAAAAGTTAATCAATTCAACTCAATTTTAGCTGAGGGCATTTTTCCACGACTGCTGAACCCTAGCATGTGCCAGGCAGCTAAAATTATACTAAAATGTGTAAGCTCTGTTGTTATTTTAGAGATAATCCAGGAAGTAAAACAAAGTCAAAAATTCTCACCACATTTTTAACGTGAAACGCTTTAATCTTCAATCAAGTGTATCCTTATCTTCTAAGATCTTTATATATTGTCTCTTTTGTGTATGTTTGAAAGTTTAGAGAGTAACAACTGAGAACAAAAAATAATAACAAAAGTGATTTTACACATATTTCCGAGACATTATTCATCCTCTAAAACCATTCTTACCAGTCTCTGTTTCTGAAGTTCTTCTCTAAGTAGTCTATCTTCTGGTAAAACGTCACATAACAAAAAGTAATTGTCTTGTTCTTCTGTTGAGAGATTAGGAAAAGAAATAAGAAATGATATTTATCATTTTTTTCCAGAAGGATTTATTCCTTTAAAAAACACATATATGTATGTCCATTAGGATCTCTCCTCTGGTATATAGTTCTGTTTAGCTTTATTGAAGTTAGGCAACATAAACAGAGTAATTTAATTTTAGCTATCATGAAAATGAGAGAATTCTAATTTAAGAAAGTAAGATTATTCATTTGAATTTTGGGATTGTAGGGAAAATATGGTAGCTAAGATGTATACTTACCAAGTGGAGCTGTGGAATTGATTCTTATCACACTACAAAAATCTGTAATGGGCTGTTCAGTGAACCTTTTCCTCCAATATAAAATGTACCTTAGAATAATCAAAAAGAAAGGACAGTAAGACTCAATATACTGCTTACTGTAGAGTGATAAGGTTTTATAAGACCATTTAATTATCCCAAAACAATAAATCAAATGTTGACTGAGAACTGCTAGAAAATCTGTAAATGGAAAGGCAGTAGAGCATTGTAGAAATATGAAATAAATATTTAATGAAATGAAATTACTCTGCAAAGGCATGGACATGATTAAACTTTACTATCCCTAAATTCAATAAACAGACATATGAGGAAGTTAAAATGAATTATTTTTATGTGATAATGAAGTTTTTCTGAAATCACATCTAAGTTTATGTGAATTTAAAATGCAACAATGATTAAATAGGCTTTATCACACATTTTCCAATAAATTGAAAGCTGGGTGATTATCTTACACATAAAAAGAACTGAATGCAAAAAAATATGCAATGAGACGTCAGTCTAAATTCAATACCTACATGACAAGACAGAAAAATTTTGTATGTGCACACTGTATCTGAAAGGAGGCAGATTTTTGGAAAAACAGCCAAGCTTACAATTCTTGTATCTAATGAGTGGAGTTAGAAGCAGCACCCTGGGTAAATTTTAAAGCATAGCATAACACCCAGACCTGCACTGTCTGATGAAAGGAGTAAGATGACAGGATTCAACAACCTGTTCATTTTCCCGTTTATCTAACAAGATTTATATTGGCAATTGCAATCTCATTTATAAATGGTACCAAGAAAAGAAGGTAGCTTCCTTCATGGGGAGAAGGGACATGGAAAGGTTGACATTTATTAGGCTATATGGCTGATACATAGAACAACCAAAAAACCCCAAAAAACTTATAGCAAAAAAAGAAAAACCCCAGAAAGGGATGGGACTTACTGAAATAGATTTAGTAAGAGACAGTAAAAATTTGGACATTTTAAATGGCTTGATATAGCAACTAGCAATGTTTTGTACATAGTAGGTTAGCAAGAAATGTTTTTTTTTTTTTTTAAAGATTTTATTTATTTATTTGAGAGAGAGAGAATGAGAGAGAGGAGGGTCAGAGGGAGAAGCAGACTCCCTGCCGAGCAGGGAGCCCGATGCGGGACTCGATCCCGGGACTCCAGGATCATGACCTGAGCCGAAGGCAGCCGCTTAACCAACTGAGCCACCCAGGCGCCCCAGCAAGAAATGTTTTTAAGAGTAGAAGAGCATTTAAAGATTCCTGTAAGTTTCTCTAAGTAGCCTTCAACTCTCACTATTTTGTCTCCTTTTAATTCTTCTTTCCCTTTTTCTTAACATTAATGTCCCAACCCCATGGTGCTCTACAAAAAGGGCATTCATGTATTTGAAAAAAAAATGTGCTGGGAGAGAGGTCTGAGAGAAAGAGAGAACTGTGACAGAGAAAAATATAAACAGACGACAAGACTGAGTTTAGACAAGGAAAAGAAGTAAAAGAATAACGTATGAAAATAAAACCATGCTTTAGTTCTTTCTTCTCATGTACAACCACACTGTTGACCCGGATGGATAAATAAGGGGAGAACTCTTTCCTTATAGAATAGTGCTAGACCTTAAGAGATCTAAAAACGATGTATCTGAGGCTCCAGCTCACCCTCAAACCATAACCACTGACACCATGGCTAGCTTGTTGGCTTCCATATTAGAAGTGTCAGATGCAGAAGGCAAGTGCATATCGGATTCAACAACAGGAACAAAAAGAAGAAAAGTACCTACAAAAGGCAGAAACATTATTCTTTGGTCACAGAGGGCAGTGACAGCACTGTCTACTCCTCAGTATCTTACACAGCTACTCTCATTCTCCTCTTTTCCATTCCCCACTACTTACCCCCAGACCAGGGGAGAGAGAAAAAGGGAGAAATAAAAGGCATGAGAAGACGTAAGAAAAAAAAAAATGACACTCCCAGCCATTTTCCTTATTCTCCCCTCAGCATATTTTCTATTGCACAGTGGTGCCTGGGATGAAGGAACACAGGAGAACCTCTATTAGAGATGCCAGGAATAGAAGATGGATTGTTCTTTTTTTTTTTTTTTTTTTTTTAAAGATTTTATTTATTTATTTGAGACAGAATGAGAGAGAGAGAGAGAGCACATGAGAGGGGGGAGGGGCAGAGGGAGAAGCAGGCTCCCCGTCGAGCAGGGACCCCGATGCGGGACTCGATCCAGGGACTCCGGGATCATGACCTGAGCCGAAGGCAGTCGCTTAACCGACTGAGCCACCCAGGTGCCCAGAAGATGGATTGTTCTTCCAAACCATACTACATAGCCATCTATTTTCATGACTAATCAAATTCATACAGCAGAACTGGGTGCTGAGATAACAGACTTAAACAAACACCAGGACAGTCAAGTTCGATAAGGAGTTTCATCATGAATACTGCTACAATAAACCATGGAGAGGTTCCTCACCCTGATTACCGTTCCATTGAAGACCATCTGGGGGATAGTCGATGTTAAGGGATCACTTAGTATGTCTCTTCTTCATGTTTTCTTACTACTCTAGTGTATTTAAAGCTACAGTTGTAATCACTCAATATTTAAAGGCAGCCAAGAAATGATATGTGATATGAATTCTTTATTGGGAGGACAGTTATCAAAGCATTTCATACTTAGTTAAAAAGCCATAAGAGTAATTATTAGGTCATTAGCAAATACTTTTTTCTTTTGGAAGAATTTCAATCATGTTTCACTGAATTGTTTCCCAAAAAAATTCTTCTAGTAATCTTGCCCGCCCATCCCCTCACTGTAATTGGTGTATTTACTGATAACGGCCTAAAGATTTGAGATATGGTTGTTAATTAAGTAGCACTGAATGAGTGGAATTTAATATAGAAAGGGGTAAGAATTAAGGAGTTAGCATTTATCTTCTGGAAAAATTTTATTTACTGAATAAAGCTAGCAAATGGTTCAGTATAAATAACGACGTTAAGTGGCTCAAAGGAAAGATTTTTATTTTTGTTTTATTCTGAGGAAGTTTTACTGTTAATTTTTTTCCAATAAAGAAAATGTTAAATATATTTAACATGAAAATTTATAGCTTCTTTCCAGTAAAGCACAAAGTCAGTCTATCTCATCTATTATTTATCATCTTTATTACTTATTGTACTCAGAAGAAACAATTCCTCTCTGAGAAGTTATATATGTATACATACATACATATACACACACACACACACACACGTAAATCTATACATACACAAACACATATACCCACCCCTGTGACTTTTCTGACATTAGGAAAAAGTCCTGTAGCATTGAGAAGATTCCAACTTAACTCTCAGAGTCAATGTTTGTATTCTTTTGGAGAGGAATTTTTAGTTTTCCTAAATAGTAGGAGGGTATTATCTACAGGAGACTGGATGTATTAAAAAGCACTTAAAAGCAAGAGTTTATCACATACATTCTTGGTCAATTTGAACTAACCACCAGAGTGAAGCTTACTGAGATGACGGCTGACAAGGAAAATTTGGGTTTCCAAATTTAAAGTACATGTTAACCACACACTTTATTATATAGAAAGCACTTATATATATCAACTATGTATCTTTTGCTTTTTAATTAAAGCACCCATTTTATAGCATAACTGCATTTAGAGGGTGACTGATTCCAACATTTAATTATTGACTCCTGAGTCTGAGACCTAGTAAATAATTTGATTTTCCTGCCCACATACAGATGAGATTAATATCAAGGATACAAAAGAGAGGTTAGTACAAATATAGCTGCTTAGCTATCATACGTAAGCGCAAAAGGAAAATACAAACTCAAATTTAGATATTCCTCACAGACTTTAGGAGAAAGAAAAATCTCAATTATCACTGGCAGATCATCTTATTTTTTTCCAATTCCTGAGGGAGAATTTGCATTTACATGAAAAAGCGAAGTAAAAGAATAGATTTACATCAAAGAAAAGCTGAGTGATACAACTTATCAAAAAGCTCATTTGATAGTCCCATCAATGGTTACTTGATAAGAATTAGAATACCTCTAGCCTAAAAAGTATCTAAAACAAATCCAACAGACATGACTACATACAACTAGAAATCATGTATGAGAATACTCCCAAAATACACACATACACACACATACACATATATAAAAACACAAATATTTTAACGGAAAATAAAGATTAAGGAATGAGAAGGGGAAGTATGAAGTGCTTCCTCTGAAATTATGTAGTAATTGGTTTATTCTACCAGCTGGTAGCATATATCATTCATATAACTCTCCTTCACTGTTCTATCTCTGCTTACTGACCAGGCAACACCAAAATTTACTAAAAAATCGCAATGCTGAGTGGATATAAGGGGCCATAATAATACAGAAAGCACTCAACAGACGTTCTGTATTAGTGCTAGGCAGTTGAGAGAAGGGTTAGAGAATAGCTAATATTACTCCTGTAGGCAACTTAAAAACAAACTCATTCTCGAAGTTTAGTGTATTCAGGATCCTAAATTCAATTTTCTCAAAAGTTATACTTGACAAATAATAATTAGGCATTCAGACAGCATAAATACCTATAGAGAACTCAAGCTATAGTTGTGGAAAACTAATATTTCAAATATATATCTTTTGTAATCCAAATATAATGAAATTTTTGGCTACCATGTGGTGGATAGAAAAAATGTCCCAGACACTAGCTGGTGCTATACATGTCCTGTTTTACATAACACTCAACCATCTTATGCAAGATGGTGTTATCCCCTTTTACTGATGAGGAAACTGCTGCTTAGAGTGGTTTAAGTAGTTTGTTCAAAGTTACGTGGTCAGGAATTCACCAAGTCTGCATTCACCCCTAGGCCTGCCTGGTTTCATAGTCTACTCTTAGTGATACAGCTTGCTGCTCTGCAAGACCCATCATAAGAAAGAAGTTGCTTGCTAGGAATGATGTGGCCTGGCAGACAGAGTTTAGATGCAGAGATACTACAACATCTGGGCTACTGCAGTGTTTTGTAGGGAAATCAGGGCAGAGTATCTCGAAATGGGTCCTGGCCAGATATACCAAGATATATGCTTTCAGTAACTGTACAAAGCCAGTTAATTACCATGCTATTGTGTATATGGAAAATGCTTCCAAGTGTCAACTAATAACAACATGAACATAAGTGCTTCACTCCATCTGCTTAAGAAAAGGCATTTCTCGGGGCGCCTGGGTGGCTCAGTTGGTTAAGCGACTGCCTTTGGCTCAGGTCATGATCCTGGAGTCCCGGGATCGAGTCCCGCATCGGGCTCCCTGCTCGGTGGGGGGTCTGCTTCTCCCTCTGACCCTCCTCCCTCTCATGCTCTCTCTCTATCATTCTCTCTCTCTCAGTGAATAAATAAAAATCTTTAAAAAAAATTTAAAAAAAAAAAAAAAAAAGAAAAGAAAAGGCATTTCTCTTGGACAATCAGTTCTAGGAATTAGGAATTAGAAAACAATGAATAATTGCTTATATTACCTGTCTGTTGGTATGGATATTCTAAGTCAGGTGCTCTTAAATTGTAGTTCAGCTCACTTTGGGTCCTGGCTATATAAGGGAAGTTCCTACATTTCACACATGCCCATGGTTGGCATTTCCTCAACCACTCACCTCTATCTATCTGCTCTTCATCCTCTTCATCTTCTTCCTCTCAGTACCTCATTCACTGACCTCAACAGCTGTCTACTTATACCCCTTTGGCTTGTTGAATGACTTTTTTTTTCTTTCTGGTTCTCAACCTCATCACAGCATTTAAATGGAGAGTTCTTTGCACAATACCCTTTTGGCCTGACAGGTTCCAACCAAAGATCCCCATTCCCAACAATGCTTGAAAAAGAATATGAATGTTCATATTTGCATAGGAATAATTTTATATATAAGCTTACCTATAAGTTATGCCTTTCCTTTATGGAATACTGAATTTAATTCTTTTATGGACAAAAACAAAATTTACCTTTGGAAATCAGCAACCAACTTGACATCAGCTATGACCATCTTATGTTCAATAATCATGTGCTTTAGAAGTTTGTCTTGTTCATCCATAGGAAAATGTTCTTCACAGAAAATACAAGGGACAGATGGAGAACCTTCTAAAGCGGTGGTGCCACCTGGACTTTCTGGCAGGGAAAGCGGCTCCAGGATACAATCCTTACTGTCTGGGAGAGAGAAAAAGCAAAAGCAAAAGCGGAAAAAAAAAAAAAGAAAAAGAAAAAGCTGAAATCAACTCTTTAGGATCATTTCTCACCTCCTGCATCCTAAAGATATTTACGTCTTTCCAAAATGAAAAATACACAGTGCCAGAGAGCAGGATACTTTATTATCATTTTAAATAGATTCTGCAACCTAGAGGCAGGGAGTGTTGCAAAGCAGCTCAAACTTCCCACTGCCGGCTTGAATGGGGGAAACCCATTTGTCAGAGCAGCTGTTCAAGCATTCTTGGACACTGGCCAATGGCAGCAATTCCGGGACTACTTGCCGGGGGACGGCTGTAACATGCTGGGTTAAGGTTCTATGGTGCAATTGTGACCTATGGCTGATAGTCATCACACTATGGGAAGTAAATGGTATATATTGAGGCTCCAGATGATACCAGGCCAGTCTTTTAAGCTGCTTCCTGTTGCACCTGCAAACTCTTTCCTGTTTCTGATTATTTGTCATGTGCAAAGAAGACAGCTCTCACATTGGGTTGACACAGCATGTGCTGGGTGGCCCAGGTGGCAATTTTTGATGTTGATTTATGTCTACCATTTGCTTGTTACACAATTACATACCATAATTCAAGTTCTTGTGAACAAAGAGATGAATGCTCAATTACTAGACATACATGGTAAACATTTTTCCTGCCGATACTATTCATTTTCCTAACATCATCTATGGTATCTTTAAGAGTTGAGCTGTGTAAGGTCTATAGTTCTGAATTCAGGCCTCAAACCACAGCCAGTTGTGTCAGGAGCCCTCTTCAGTCTTCCAAGGAGGAAGGCTGGACCTGTCACCTTATGCAAGCTACTGAGTAGTAAGTAGGCAACTAGGGTAAGACATTTAGTATCTGAGGAAGGGCAGAGAATCTTCTTCATAAAGACAGCTATTCCGGAAGCCTGGGTAGCGCAGTCGGTTAAGCATCCAACTCTTAGTTTCAGCTCAGGTCCTGATCTCAGGGTCGTGAGATCAAGTCCCATGTCTGGCTCCGCGCTCAGTGCAGAGTCTGCTTAAGACTCTTTCCCTATCCCTCTGCCCCTCCCCTCCATTCTCTCTCTCTTTCTTTCTCCCTCTCTAAAATAAATAAATCTTAAAGAAAAAAAAAACAGTTATTCCACAGAAAAGTCTTTGGAATTAGCTTACTACTAATTTTATTTTCTTGTTTTTATCTTACTTTATTTCTAAAGGGCTTCTTAATTGCCTAATTCATGGATACAGTCACTGGTGCACTAAGGACCATGGTCTTAGCACTGGGTAAGCATTGATTCACTCCACAAAAATCAGCTGAGTAGCTACTGAGTGCTGTTCTTTTCTGCTTAACGTTGCATGATAGGATCCTTATTATCAAGGCTAATGTGCTTGCAACTTGTTTGACAGTACAAGTAAGTTGAAAGGATAGAGAGAGACGGAATGTATAGGGTTTGTGGGAGCATGGGTAGGAGAGTCACTTAACTGAGCTGGGGTGGGAAGGTGTCCCAAAGGACATGTCCTCTAATACATGACTCATAATACTCTGCTCATATTAAAGTATATGCTATATTAAACTTCTATCTTAGTTCCATAAAATTATTTAATACCAGAAAAGGTGAAAATAGGGTACACATGACAAAGTAGAGAGTATTTAAAATATACAAGCACTTCAAGAAGCACTATTAACAAAAGTGATGTGTTACCATTACATTTATTAAATTATACAATGGAAGCAAGGAGTTTTGGAGTTCTATAGTTCTTCAGTTGTAGTTAAATTCTGTAGGAACTTAAACCCTCATGTTAAAAATAGGATGGGGGAAGAGAGGTAATATACTTATGAAACTATATTTTACATTCATTAGAATGGGGCAACAAAAGACAACATATATTCTAAATAAAGGTACCATTAGTAAACATTACTGGCCATCTAGAAAATAACAGGTACCATCCTACACCCTTCTCCCCAAATTTGAATGATGTATGTGTAAATTCATTTTGCCTGACTACAGAAAACAATGTATTAATCATCACCAATAGCAAGAGCTAACATTCCTAAGTGTTTGATATTTGTAAATTATCAGCAAAGGGCTTCAGGTCACTTTCTCAATCATAGCTACCTTTTCCAGTTAGTACTATTATAATCCCCATCTTACAGATGAGACTACTGAGAGTTTTGTAACTTTTCTGTTAAATCAAGGGGCATAAACATAGTAATTTAAGACTAAATTCAAACACTACACTATTCTGCCCCCAGTTCCAAAAGGCATTTCCCCAAATCTCTGTTTCTCTTTAATGTACACACTCAGTGCTATTTTGAATTCATATGTATTTACAAGCCACACTGAATTTCTGCGTATGCTGCCAGTGTCCTTCAGTCTCCGCAATACTACTTCCACCAACAAATCTCAGTAGCCCACCTCCTCCAAAAACCACTGGGTACAGTTTATCTCCGTCATTGTCCATTTGCTTTCCCAGGGTTTCACTACAAATTCTCCAATATTCTTCTGTGGTTCATTCCCCTCCCTTTTGGATGTTCAATGCCCAGTTTCTCTTTCTTCAAATTATTCCTAAGAGAATGAAACTATATGTTCACACATCCCAGAACCAAACTGCTTGTGGTTACTGTAAAGGCATACAGGAACAAAACCATAAATATGCAAATTTCATGTATGAGGAACTTGTGGTTTAGGAGGTACTAAGCTGCTTTGGGAACTCAAGTTACTACATAATCCAGAAGAGAAAAAAAAATTTTTTTAAAGATTTATTTATTTATTTGACAGAAGAGAGAGTGAGCGTGTGCACGGGGAGGAGGAGAGAAAAACTTTAAGCAGACTCCGCGATGAGTCCAGAGCCCAAGGTGGGGGCTTGATATCACAACCCTGGTATCATGACCTAAGCCAAAATCAAGAGTCAGACACTCATCCAACCGAGCCACCCAGGCACTCCCAGAAAATAAAAATTTTAATAGAACATTTTGGACAGTAAGATTTTAGCATTCTGACTCCTTAATCATTTAGCATCATGCTCAAATTTACAACAGCATCAATCAAAAGAAGTAATTTGTTTACCTACTTGTCTTTCTTTCCCCACTTCGGACTGTTAATCCCTGCAAGGCCAGGTGAATCCTGGTTGTCTTTACTCACGGGGAATGTACACTGTGTTACTGCACCAGGACCGCCACCAGCACTGTGGGTTCATTTTGTGCCAGGCATTGTCAAGCACTTTATATGTACAGTGTTAACTTTATATGTATAGTATTAACCCAATCAACCCTTACAAAAACCCAAGGACAGAGATTCCATTTCCTTCCCTATTTCATAGTTGAGGAAATTGAGACACTGAGAGGCTAAGTGCCTTGCCCTAGACAGCCAGTAAGCGGTGGAGCCAGGATTTGACTCCAAGCAGTCTGGCTAAAGCACTAGCACTCTTACCCTATACAGAAGACAGAGGAAGTCGGACCTTTTCCTATAGGAAGTAGAGCCACTCCTACGTTTAAAACTGCTTTGGGGAGAGCGGATGAGAAAGAGACAAGTCTCAAGATGAGGAGACTGGCCAGCTGGGAGACTACTGCAGTGTCCAGAATGGAGGCAGCAATGTTGGCAGTGCTTTGACGGGATGGACAGAGGAGAGGCTGCAGAGCTAAAACTGACAGTTCCTGATTACTGGTTGGCTATTGGCTATAAGGAGTGAAGATGACCAGGATGCCTTCTGAGTTTCTGGCTGGCGAGGCAGTATAAATGAGGGGTGCCAGTCACCAATCTAGAAATGTAGGCAGAAAAGCAGGGTTTTTTTTTGTTCTGTGAGAGGGATGGATAATGAGTTAAGCTTTAGATGAGCCCAGGTGACCTGCTCCAACGTTAGATATTCCTGGCATGGCTGCTGGACAAGAAGAGCAGTGACTGGAGTCTCATGTGATGCATTTGTGTTGTTTTGTTTGCCAGCACCCCAACCCCCCAACTCCTTTTGAGGGTTTGACTCCATCTCTCCATGCCCAAGAAGAGCAAATATCTCTGTTGTAATATGTGTCTCTAGGGCAGTATGAGAACTCCTCAAGGTCAAGGACTAAATCTTATTTTCATATCTCTAGTGTAGACTATAGAGTGCATGAACCATAGATGGTATTTGATAAGTGTCTGAAAGAATGAATAAGATTAGAGTTACTTAAAACTAGAGTTGTACCTTTAACTCAGCTTCTAGGTAAGCCCCATTTCAGGAAACACCTGTGGCTGTCTGTTTTTAGGGGAATGAGAGCAGTACAGAATAATGACATCCAAATCTTTAGTGCTGTGGGCCTTGGTGTAATGAGCCCACTGATAATGAAGAATGATGTAAAAACTACACTAAATTCTAAGTATTGAGTATAATTAAAGTATGTTTAATGAGGAATTTCTAAGTTCTTTTTAAATTTTTCATTCATACTGGCCAGTAGACAGAGACAAGGGGCATTTGGATGGCAGAGTAAATTATACCACTCCATCAGAGAATGTTTCTGTGTGAAAGGTCTGAATCTCCAATATATATTTTACTTTAGAGTAGTGGTTTCCAAATCTGTTTGCATTTCATCACCTGGAGGGCTTTTAAAAAGTAATGATTTTAAGACTTTATTGTGGACTGAGGAAATGTAACTTTTACCAAGCAGTAGTCCCTAAACTGAAGTCTGAGGATCAATGGTTCAAAGGATGATTCCATGGGGATTGTAGACATCTTGACTATACATGAGAATACGGTGAACTCATGGAAAAGTCTGTAAATAGGGAACAGGGCCTTGTGGCAAAGCTTACCTGATACCGTACTCTGTCCTAAAGAGAGCTTCTCAAATACTAAGCACAGGGTCAGCAGAGATAACTCAGTAAGATTTGTCCAACAGATTGTTTATTTCTAGCTGTCCAATAGATTGTTTATTTCTAGATTCCATAAGAATCATAGCTACACCTTACCACATGGTAAACAAACAATAAATACAGAAATACAGAATTCTTTGCCACAGGGA